TGTGTGTGTGTGTGTGTGTGTGTGTGTGTGTGTGTGTGTGTGTGTGTGGAGGGAAAGTGAATGAATCCACAAGGGCAGTCACGTCACAGTGAGAACAAGGAGAACGAAAGAGATTTGGAGCAGATTTTCCACTCCAGCAGAGAGGCCGAACGGGGTGGAAATGAGAAAGGGGCAATAAGAAAAAAAAAAAAAAAACAGTGATGTTGGGTGGCAGTCCATTAGTGAAGCGACTAATGGATGCCGTGAAAAGGCCAATTTAGAGGCCAACGCAACCGGGTGAGTGGACTTTTTGCCCCAAGGTGACTTTTTTTTTTTTTTTCACTAGAGTCCAGTGGATAAAAAAAGGGCCTCAGGAAAAGCTTGTTGAAAATGGGAATTCAATTATCCAGCAAAGTCTCCCATTTCCGTCCTATCATTTGATGTCATGTTGTCAGGAGCCCCTTCGGTGTGATCGTGTGTGTGCAGGACACGAGCCTTGCAGGTTTTCATGTCCCAAAGGGATACGGCGCGATCTATATCAGTCACGCTGTCCACAGGGACCCGCGGGTGTTTGAGCAGCCTGACAGCTTTGTGCCGGAAAGATGGAGCGCAAGGTTAGTCGTCACACACACCACATTCAACATATCTTTATGAAGAAAGTACATGCCAGCATTCAAAACGGGGGGAAAAAAAACAAAATCGGCATCCATCTGAACTCCGATCTGGCCGGTTTATCCGTTCACTCTCGCCGGCTGCCGTGCCTCGTTTCATTCATTCACTGCCACCCATTCACCTGTCGGGTTTCATTCATGCTCCTTCATTCAGCCGCGGAAAAAGGGGGCAAGAAGCTATGAATGTGTCTATGCCGGAAACTGTTGCCATGGTAGCGGGTCACCTGATGCTGTGTCTGCCAATAGGGTTGCCCCAGCGCTCACGGAGTTGGGAGGGGCGGGGGGGGGTAGATGGGGGCAGGGGGGAGGAGTCGTTTTCTGGTTTCTCTCCCATAATGCCTTGTGGAATGGGATGGGATACAGAAAATGAGTCAGAGCAAATCCTATCTCATTTTTCTTCCTTTTGTGATCACGACTCGGCTCGCAAATGGGGTAATTCCTGTAAAATGTTCTCTATTTATGCGGGATTCCCCCCTCATCGGTTCATTAAGCTCCACTGAACAATCCGATTCGAATGTGAACGTTCAAGGGTGAAACCCGTTTGTGCGTTTGGACAATTCATCAGGATCTTGCGTCGGTTTGAAATGTAACGCGCTTAATTTGTAATTGTGAGTTGCTATTGGAAACAAAAAAAATGAAAGTTAAGGTCGTGTTTAGAATGTATTCATTTCCGAGCAACGGCTTCTTCCGCAGGAAAGGGAAAAAAAAAAAAAAGAATGAATACAGCTGCCATGGTAACGCATGCCACCTCAAGCCCGTTTTTTTACCAATGGGGATTTCCCCGCGCGTGTGCGTGTTTTATCCTCGAAGATGTATCCTTTCGCGTCATTTTTGTCAACGTGTCAAACACCCGTGAGGATGGTGGATGATGTCTGGCGACGCTATGCATCACCGTCATACACTTCAAAGGCCGCTAAAAGCCACTTCGAGGCACCTACAGCGAACCAATTTTTGGCAAATATTTAGTGCTTCGTTTTGAGGGACACTGTCAGAATCATTCACTCAAAACGGCCCCGACTGACGTATTTCTCCTTCCAACAGTTTTCCGGTCTAGTTTGCTCTCCTCCCACTGCGCTCCATCGCTGCTTGTCCATCTGTCAGTCGTCCTGGGGGAGCGTGTTTGCCTGTCTGCCCTCAATAGTTTCCAGGCTCCTTTTTCTTGCCACCTGCCCGTCGGCTTGGACGACTGCAGTCCTCTTGCGTAACGGGCCCGCCTACTATCACGACAGTAGAAGCCAATCGGCGTTTTTGTGTGTTTAGTACCATGCGTGAGCGTATTGTGTGTCCTTGTAGGTATCATAAGCTCGCGTACGTGTGCTTTTCCAGTCTGAAGCAAATAGGACGATAATGCGCCGACTCTACTATCGGGTTGGACGCCCACACAGACTGTGGACAAAGATACACGCGAGTCGGAAATGCTGCCGTACGCAGATAAGGAAACCGAGCTACTGCGGCTTGTAATCTTCTTTCGATCTTGCGGCAGGAAGTTTCTTCTGAGCAAGTCGTGACATGCCTCGATTTCATTTAACCCTTTCAGGGACAGCGGTTATTGCAGTGGACAGCTCATCATGTTAGCGGGTTGCAGGTCATCATTAGTGGTGCATGTACAGTGGAATTCAGAAGTCAGTGCACTGCATTGATTACGGAACCTCATCGCCATACAAGATTCGACAAAGACGTGTTCCTTTTCAGCGCTCGACTCGCTGAAGGCAACCGGGCGTCTGGAGATTATTTTTTTCTCCCTCAAAAGAAAGAATTGATGTGCCCCAAGGTTTTCAACGGCGCTCAATTTCCATCGAATGTATCCAAGGCTGCCACTGTAGGCAAGTCAAGGATTAGACGCGATGGAAAATGTCCGTCTCTCTTTTCATTTCCTCCGTTTTCAGCAAGTTTGATTGTTTCCTTTTCTTGGAAAAAAAAAAAAACTTGCTCTTGTCTGAGAGTTGGCTAGCGCCCATCCCGCTTCTTCGCGATCAACCTTCTGGTGCATTAAACTGTTCTTGAGGGCTGCCGCAATGAACACTTAGGCTGGCTCACACACAGGATCCGCTAATGCTTCCTGTTTGCCTTTAATCAGAGCTCAGGTTTCAGGATGCATTAGTAGCGATCGGGCTGCAGGGTGCGGTCTGGTATTAGCACGCTGCTGGCAAAGACGCTCTTCGCATCTGTTTAGTTCCAACGTAGTGTTCCAAAAGTGAACAGTCTAAAGTTGCACGTGAGACGTGGGACCCGGTTCTCGTTCAGCGCGCTAGCTGCTAGGCCGTTGCGTTTAGGTGCATCGAATCACATGCAAGATCGCTGATGTTCGTAGAGTGGAAACATCCTGTAAACAATCACTAAAGAAAAAATGAAACCTGATAACACGATAAGCCGTCCACTGTCGTAACTGCTGGCCCTGAAAGGGTTAAAGTCATACTTGAACCATCACGATTATTACGCGACGCAGTCATCATTTTGTAACGAACAATCTCACAGCATGAAGTGATCGCTGTTCCGCCCACGGTAATGAACACGATTCTGATGTGGGCACACTCGTGTCGAGCGAAGCATTGAATTCTTTGTCCTCTCGGCGCATATTTGACATTTTTGTGCAATCACGTTTTTGCATAGGAACGCAGAGCACAAGCACTTCCTTTGTACCTTCGGCAGTGGATCTCGAAACTGCATTGGCATGAAACTCACCGACTTCTTCCTCAAGGTGAGCAAGAACCCAAAATATACACCAAATGCCGCGTCTGCATTTGAATATGTGAGGCAGAGTCTCGAGAACATTGAAAAGGGCCGAAAAACAAAATTGATGTTGAATTGCGAGCGTTCGGTTCATGTGAATGATGCGATGACATCATTGGGGATGCAGCAGCATGGCTGAAATAGTCAAGCGGGGCGAGCTGCAAAGAATGAACATGCAAAAGAATCATTGCCTTTTCATTTACCCACGCCAGCGTACGGGAGAAAAACACTCAAATATTTTCGGTCAAAGTTCAACTAAGAAACGGGAGGGGTTTGAATCGTACTTTTGGAGTATTGATTGATGAATATGTTGCAATGCACAATCACTATGAATGATTCAATTTTGAATGTCTTGATTTTCCAAAGCAAAGAGACTGTTAATTAACTGTTTATTTGATTCATTTGCCAACTCTTCTCCCTGGTCATTTAAATTGTGGATGAACACGTTTGACGTTTACAGTTTTTGACCCATGGCCGTAATCTGGGCAAATCGGGGGCGAAAAAAAAACAAAAAACAAAACACCCACACATCCGTCAGTGGGGCCTTTGCTGACTTTAATTCCAAGGGGGGGGATTTGCAAATTTGGCCTAATTGTTGGGTTGTGTGAAACCCTCCTTTGTTTGTTTTTCATGAATTCAGCGCTTGTGTCTCACTGTTTGGTTGTGGCAATAGAACAGACAGAATCCCTCCATGCGCACACGCGAGGGCATGACCAGTGTGAAAACTAGACCGCGGGGATCTAGGTCATAGATGTGACTCATCGCCTTCCCCATCCTCCATTCCATCACTTCTTTCACCCCCCCCCCCCCCATTCGTCTTCCCCCGTTGTGTTCATCCTGCCCCTCCCCTCAATCGGGATAATCTTCATTCATAAATCAGAGGGTGGGTGGTTGGGCAACGGTCATGTGATGGGATCTTCACCAATAGGGAAGCGTGCCAATGATGTCAGCAGCCTTGATACTCAGTGTGCACTTTGTGCAAAGAATAAAATGGGATAAGAGGGAAAGGGGGGGGGGCTCTTGTGACGTGGAGCAGAGAGCAACACTGTCAATATATTGAATGAAAGTGTGACTGCTTGCAATCTTATTCGAATGACGTGAAGGTAGAAAATAAATATGTGGAGAGAAAATAAATGGAACATGTTCTGGTTTGTTATGGTGCAGGAGGCATGCGTGTACCTCTTAAAGCACTATGACTGGTGTCTGGACCCGCCATCACAAAACCTGGACTACAAATGGCTGCCTGTGTCTCGGCCTGCCAATCCCCCAACTGTTTCCTTCACTCGTTTTGGAAGTGGCCAGAACTGATGGGAACCCGCACCATGTAGAGACGTGCAAAATGTGTGTTAAGTGTGCGCAAAAGGCCGTTTTCTGTCTCTGTGACCATCCGTAGGATAACACGGTGAAAGCGTTGTTGACCGATACGTCGCATTATTTAACTGATTCACTCCCAGAGACGTTATTAAACGTCTTTTCAGACTTGGTCTCTAATTGGCTGGTACTGAATGAGTTAATAGGAAGGTTGCAAAAATAAAACTGTAGTTTGCCTCCTTGAGAATGTCACCTTTGTGGAATAGCGTGCCTTGTTCAACGTTTTTGCAGGGAGTGTATGTGTTCACAGAAAGCGCGCAAGCGCACACACATTGAGGTAAGCCCTCAGATTCCATCAGTGACTGCAAAAGTGTCAACCCCCCCCATGCTCCAACCCCTCCCAATATCTCCCTGCTGCACCACCTAGCAACCAGCGCTGCTTAGCAACAGTTCGTCACTCCGACACTGACTTCCTTTTAGTATCCTCACACACACACACACACACACACACACACACACACACACACACACACACACACACACACACACTAATCTGCAGAAACGGATTATTTGTATCTCATGAATCATCACCTCAGCGAGATCAGCTCTCATACTGACAGTTAGAAAACAATTGTTAGTGAACTAAGAATCCAGAATGAATGTTCTTTGTCCAATATTGTTTTGGTCATGTGACATGTCTTTCACCATGATGTGGACTTACTTTGTGTTGACACTTTTTTTTTTTTTGGGGGGGGATCGTGTTTGGTTATTTAAATATCACTCAAATTTCTGAAGTGTGTTGGTCTTGTTTTTGGTTGGGAGAGTAGAAGAGACTGCTTGCTTGAAATAAAAGACATATTTTTGTAACTAATGAGGTCAGTTTGGGAATGTCACATTGATATGTGCCCGACAAATACCTTTCTGTCCAACTGTCCTTCGCATGAACACACGCACGCCATGCAGACGTGAATACTTTGCACACACACACACGCGTGCTTGCAGACGTCCGTCACACTGCATCTGGCACAGAACGAAGTTGTTGTCAAGAGGATGACTCACTGGCCTTCATCCACCAGCCACGTCTCCCGACAACAATTGACGACAACAGGCCACAGCCACTCTTCTTCTTGCCTCTTTCTTTTCTTGGTGTCTTTTTCCTTCATGTTCAATATTAAAAAAGGGTGAGCGCGATGGCAGAAAAAGCATTCAGCGCGCCGTACCGTCATCAGAGATGCTGGAAGTGAAACTTTGCCGAAATCCCCTCATGATGCCTTCAGTTAGATTTTGATGTGTGGGGAATCGTGGATGGACACAATATTTGCAATTTGTTTGAAAAGTGCTGGAATTTTTGGATCGCGTGGGAATGGTTATTATTCCTTTCGCAAAAAAAAAAAAAAAAAAAAAATGCGCCCGAGTGAATCATTTGCTTATTAAATATGAGATGTGCATGAATGGGGAAACAAGTTGCAATTTCTAATTATTTGTATTTTTTGTAGTTATGACCTGCCCGCTTGGCCATCACTGGCTGGTTCATTTTGTGCACAATTTAAAAAAAAAAAACGTACAGTTTATACTTCTACAAATTGTGTTTACTTTTTTTCTGTTTTTAATAAATGTTGTTAAAAAAAAATCTGATTTTTATTTGTCACTAATGAAGGCTTCGGTGAATGTGCATATGAACTGGTTGGGTTCGGTACCTCTAACAAAGTGAAGAACCACTGCACTATGGTGATGTTGAGTTGAGGAGTTTCATTGACTTTGTAGACAAAAAAAATGTGCTTTGCAGCAATCAAGTGGTACATGCAGACATTCAGAAACCTTTTTGCAACTACTCACATATTTTATAACCTTTTTATCTTCTGCTTTGCTTTAATTTGAGTAAAATCTGCCTGAAAGACATTAACTCCACCACTTATGACTGAGAAAGTGGAAAACTCAAACTAAATTTGTCATCCACACTGTCTCATGCCTCAAACCGTTTGTCTATATAGCAACGGGAACCGTGAAACAGACTCTAAGCCCCGCAGAAACACACACACACACACACACACACACACACACAGAATCCTCAGTGCTTACTTACTCGCAAGTGTGTTTGCGTGTCCTCAGACAGGGAGGAAGGAAACATCATTAGTCACTGAGGTGCCATCAAGTTGTGTTTAATTGTCTCATTTATCTTCCTGCGCCGCACAAGCAAACTCTCCTGCAACTGCTCTCGTCGGCTCCCTGCGCTTAGATCGCGACATTCGTTTGACTGCCAAACAGGCTTCTCACCTTCATTTATTTACAACTTAAAAATAGTTGTGATCATGTACAGTTCATGCCTTATACATGACGATGGCATTTCATTGATAACTCACGTGATTGAAATGAATGGAAAATGCAAATTAAGCCCTCCATAAAACACCAACAAAATATCTTGTACTGTCATTTTTTTCATATAAAAAGACAACACCAAAATGTTTTCCAATTCTGGAATGACCCAACTATATACCTGGGACAATCTGTTGATATCCGATAAAAGAAGGGCGCAAAGATTATTGACGCTTAGTTTTGAATTGACGGGTCTCCAAATACACTGAGATTTGACATGCATGCTCTTTAATGCTAATGTCCGTTCTTGTGTCTCTTGCATCTCTCATAGGTCTCCTTTTCGTCAACAGTCCATGCTCCCCTTTCAACATCATGAAGACTTTTTTGACCTTTCACACTGCCGGCTCATGCGTCTGTCATGGGAGGGCAACAGGGAAAGACAGATGGCGATGGCGAGGTAAGAATTATTCAAAGAAAGTCTCGGCGTGTTTGTTAGCATTTTAGAATCTTCACTTAAATCGGTGCGATTATGTAAAACTCCCATTTGTGTAAAAGAGCGTCTTATGTTTTGAGCTATGTCTCCAGAGTTGTTTTTTTTTTTTCATGCTCAAAAAGTTGCTTGTGGAGGCTCTCAGTCGTACAGGAAAGTTCCATCGTAGAAAGGGTTCTGTCAGTCGTCATCTGTACCCAGGTACAGATGACGACTGACAGAACCCTTTCTACGATGCTCAAAAAGTGTAATGGGCAGGTGACCTTTTTTTAAACTATGACTCATGCACAGGGAGGTTTACCAGATACAGTAAGAAAGAAAACCGGCAGTGTGTGAGTACTCGGAGCCATTTGATGTAAAACAGGGTTGAGGATGCCGCCTTTAAAGCTAATGATGCTTTTAATACATTAAAAAAAAAAAAAGTAATAAAACAGGATTAATTGAGATCTTCAAAGCAATTATATGTACCAGCCAACATTTACAAGTCAATTCACTATCGCTTTACACACTCTCGCGTACGCAGCAAAGATTTCACCAAAGCTACGAAATGTATTTAATTTAAAAGTGACGAGCGTTTTTTTGTTTTTTTTTCGCTTCTGACTTTTTGTATCCGAATTGGGATCGCTGAAGGCAAATTCAGTTCACATACATTTTAGTTGGAAATCCGTTTGTCCATCTGTCCATTGCGGTATCTGTCAATGTCGCATGTATTTATTTATTTTTTTTAGTCGGTGGTCTCAGTCAGTCAGTCAGTGGTGGGCCCTTCAAAAATCGCCATCACATTCCCCACCTCTTGGGGCACCCCTACCACAAAGTACATGCGAATGGACACAAATCAGCTTTGTTAGCATTAACTTTGCAGGTCTGCAATCTTCTGGGTGCTGCTCCAGTTTTGTTTAGTTTTTTTTCTTGGGCAAGTTTTACTGGTGCAATTTTTGTGACAGGCTCTCGGAATAATTCATGCGAATGCTGAGGTCGAGCCCATAAACAGCAAGTGCTGGTTAGTAGGACGCATCTAATATAGATGACACTGGGCTTTTGTATTTTTAATGCCTTTCGGTCCTACAAATGAGAATCCAACCTTGAAATGGCCCAGTGTCACTCTGCCTTTAATTTCACTCATTCACTCCCAAAGACGTTTTTAAACGTCTTTTCAGACTTGGTCTAGAATTGGCTGGTACTGAATGAGTTTTAATAGCCGTTCCGTCAGCACCTCAGTTTATGAATAAGGGAGTAAAAGTATCTCTATCCCAGTCATCTTACTCACTTCAACTCTAATGAGGATAAGCGGAACAGAAAATGAATGGACGGATGTAGTGAGTGAAGTAGCTTCCATTTTTTTTTTCCATTGCCTCATTTTCATTTTCGCTCCAGAGCGGCAATTCAGCATCGTTTGAGATGACGTTTATTTTTTGTACAGGTTTGAAAGAACAGCTTCTCATTTTTTTTTTTTTACAATGCAGTATGACGCGTAAGCAGGACGTGTGTGAGGAAGATGAACGTTGCGGCACATTTCATATCTCCGGAGAAGTGTTGAGGATGCGGCGGAGTGTGATCGCTTTTCGGGGCTTGTGTTGTTGCTGTGCGCCTTGAAGCAAGCACACGGGAGGTGGCAAGTGGGCGTGAGGATGCGAGCACATTTTTCACTTGAGTGTTGTGTAAGTTCTTACTGCTTGTCGGGCTACTGGGCAATTGACTCATAGCGACACTTCACACAGAGGAAATCCAATCACTTCAATGTGACCGTGTCTCATTAACAAGGACACTCCACTTCCTCTTGTCCCCCCCCCAGCCCGCCTTCATGCCCCTCCTCACACACTTCATCAGTGGTCGTTGAATCATTGTTTTGTTTTTGTTTGTTTTTTTTTTTTTTTTGTTTTTCCTGAGGAGGAAGAACAGAAAAAAGAAGAAAAGTCAGCATGAGTTCAAACCTGTTCACTGTTTTGTGTGTGTGCAGACGTGCTCGTGTTATGGGCGGAATTAGCTGTGAATGGTATGCGTTCGTATCCAGGTTAACCGTTTTGGGCGGCGTCAGACAGAATAAGTCAGAGTAGTGCTGTGTGTGTGCGTGCGTGTGGTTACCTTCGACTACACTAGAAGGGTATCAATGCAATGACCTTTCATGTGTGTTTGCTGTGTGGCTCCATGGCTGACCTGTTGTTGGGTGTATATTACTTATTAATTGCCACAACGGAGAAAAACACAATATAGACCTTCAATTAAAAAAAAACAAAAAAAACACGCACGCTCAAGTCATTATAAGATATCCTTTATTTGTCCCACACTGGGGAAATTTACAGTCTACAGCAGCAAATTTGAGGTGTGGAAAGAAGAAAAACAAAGTGTTTGCAAGCAGAAAAATAAATGTAGATAAAGAGAGCTGTACACAGTTCAATATAAGTGCAATATAAA